ATCAATATATAATTTATTATGGCTTGTATATTAATTATAAAAATTATTTAATATTATAAGAAAACGATTTTACCTTTCCATTGCTTCGAGGAATTGACTGATTGATGATGTTTCTAATTTGATGTCCATCAAAGTAGCTTAATAGCGCCACGTAAAAAACAAATTAATTATTCAAAATATAAATGATATTTGACTAATTATTGAGTTGTGTATTATATACTTAATAAATAAGTATATACATAATTTTAAGAAAAAAGGAAAACACTTCTTCGTATCGAATATGTGAAAATAGTAATTGTCTGTATATAGCTAAGCCTATTTTATTACTTTTCTCTAATTTGTTTTGTTGTTGAATTAATTAACTATATATATCAAGTGTTGATCAATTTATTATAGATTATATTTTATAGATCTTATTATTAAAATGTCTAAGATAGTAATTAATCAAAAATTTAAATTGGCACATTTATGCTTTAAGCTTGAGATTGAGAGATGCCAATTTTGTGATTACAATCAAAATGAATGAAATAAATTGATTATAATATTGTAAAATTATCACAAAATTTTGTATAGCATTCTTTCAAATTTTATCCATTAGTTAATAGCATTCAATATTATTTAATTTGTACGATATAACTATTGCTTGCTTTTTTTTCCTTTTTTCTGCCTTTCTTCTTCTCACATTTGTGTCTTATTTCTTCTTCTTTTTACAAAACTTTCATTTTTTTAGTTTTTACATTTCTTGCAATAGTTGTTACAATATATAGATAATTTACAAATAAAAAGAGAAGAGAAAGAAAGAATAAATTAACTTACCACATGAAGTACACAAAATACGCTCCGATATATATTCAAAAAAGAAAATCTCGCTCTTATTTAGCGCTACATTTTCTAATTTGTCCGTTAATATTAAAGATTGTTCAACGAATATATCAAAAAATCTCCGTAACATATTTTTATTAATAATTGGCAGTATCATTTTTCGTTGTTGACGCCATTTAGATACTAAAATAAATATTACAGAAAGATAATAAAGAAAAAGAAAATGAATCATATTAAAACATAATATTAAAAAAATATTAATAAGAAATGCCGCATTAAAAAAATTGTAGTACTGCAAAAATGGAAATAGAAGTATTGTATGATTAGAAATACAAGTTATGTTATGAAAGTTTCAAGCGATTATTTATATATTTTGTGTAAATGTAATGATTACATTTAATTAATTAAACTTTGTTCTTATATAAATCTTCCTTACCCGGAGCTGTGAGTATTCCCTCGCCCAATAATGGTTCTATAAATTTGTATACTATACTCTTGTTCAAGCAATGACTATTTTGTAAGACTATCTACATCACATAAAATTTATTTATATTTCTGTTAGATATTTGTTTGCATCACGTTTGAGTAATTGACATATCTTTGGAAAATTATATTGATTACATCAAAGATATAAATTATAGTAGTTAGTAAGGTTTGACATAAATAGTTATAATGTAGAATATAAATGAATATAAAGTATTTCATACCTTTATTTGATCTGGTTTGTTTATAAAAATGAATAGATTGTTACCCATCCAAATTCGGAAGGGGGACGGATAATATTCTGCCCATTTAGTGAAAATATTCAATACATCTACGAAATGTTATATGACTTATTATCTGAGATGTGGTATATTTACATTTTATTATATCAAATAATACGATGTTAGCAAAAATAACTTTTAAAACTTTTGTGTATGTGTTGCTTATTTTTTATTTTTTATTATTATTCTATGACTTAAGCATTAATACTATTATTTCTTTATTCTTACCGTTAGGACTTCGATGGAAAAGAACGTGGGCATTCCCAATAAACGGGAGTGTTCTTGGACCAGGCAAGGTGTTTATGGTTTTAGAAGATTTTCGGCGATGGTAATTCAAGACGACATAACTTATGGCAATACATACCAGAATAATTAATACTTCACTTACAAATATCATTGTACTGAACGATGATAACAGCAAAATAATATTACAGTTTTATATTAACGTTACTACCGAAATGCGAATATTATTACTTCATCAACGCTTTTATTATGTTTCCCCCTACGTATTTCCATTCGCGCCCTTCCCCCATTACCGATACCTTCCCTCCTGTTTCTTTTTACTCTTAGCGCACTATCCTTTTTCCACGCCTTCGCAAACTTAGCGGTCGCATCGCATCTTGCGATTCTTCTCGCCTCGTGGACCCCTCGCCAATCGGCAGCGTACGATTTATCTTGCCCCATGAACCGTCGACTGTGGACCTTTCGCAACGTGTGTCAGGTCGCACGTGTCTCCTTTTGCCCAGCGTGAAGTTATTCCCCCGCGCCGAGATTCCCGCGCCACCGCGTCCTCCTGGAGTATTAGAAAATCCGGTTTAAAAAACCGGTCTAGTTACTTATATTTAATTATGTGTCCTAGAACTATCTTCTCTCAATGACAGATTTCTTAGAAAATAAATATTCTACAAAAATGTCAAGGCTATAATAGTTTTTAAACGGGAAGCGATTATATTTTATGTATGGCAGAACTGAGATTTTGCGCGCTCAGACACGGCGAAATGACAAGTAAAAAAAGCGCTTCTATGAATGGAGTGCTTTTTTTATGATATTATGATTATTGTATATTGAAGCGTATGCATTTTAGGCAGTTTGGAGAGCACGCAGCGGTCGTTGGCCTCACCTTTTTTTTTCACTCAGTTTCACTTGCTGAATCCGAAAGTCATAGTTTAAATAGTCTTAGTATCCAGAAAAAATTTTGAGAGACATTTTAAATAGAAGAAAGCAACGGTTGATTTTATCATCTTCTCGAGCCATCTCAACAAATTTTTCTCATTACATTTTTATTAAAATCATGGTTTTTATTTTTATACTAAAAAATAAATAATATTTTCTAGTAAAAGCTATTATTATAGAGCATCTATGAAATTAAATACTTTGGATCGGAATAGGGCCTACAAATGAATGTTTCTTATACTCCTGTAACAAAGATTACGGATCTGACTTTGAAGTCGTAAAGTTGTAGCTAATTATATGCTTTTATATGTTTTAAAATAAATATATAGATTTAATAAATACTTCTAATCTATTTTTAAATTAATTTGTAATTAATAAATACTTTTATTCTATTTTCTGTTTTTTTTAGATACTTCGTTTTGATAATTCTTTTTACGAATAATGGATGCAAGAACCAAATGCATCTCAAAAATGATACAAGTAAAAATTAGTACGGTAAAAGAAGTACGGTAGTTTTAAGACACCCTGTATATAGACTTTTATCTCAGATTATTCCAGTATAAAAATTACAGATGTATGTATATTAATTATACGATTTCTAAAATAAATTTTTTTGAAAATCTGTGTCATCGCGCTTTAGATTTATATTTTCTTTCTATATGACTATATCGTGCACAACTTTTAAATTTTATGATGCAACATAAGTAAAAGTCATAATTCGGTTAATCGGTCCTGAGTTATAGAAGATCGCAAATAATTCTTTATTAATTTTAATTTTAAAAAATTTCTTTCACTGGATGCAACAGTTATTGGCAATGTTAAAAAAATCTTAAAGATATAAATAAATTAGGAAATGATGACTATAAGTTATTCTTAATAATATAATCTAAATTTTGTAACATATCCGATAAGCTTTTTTGTACTATTTTATATGTTTGTAATTTGTTAAATAATTTTAAGTCATGTACATCTTTAGATATTGAATTTTCTGTGTTAATTTGCAGAGTTAAGTCTAAATCGAAACAAGCTTTTTTTAATCTTTCTCTTCCGACAAATTATGAAATTCGCACAAAAATTTAAATAAATTATTGCATTCATTCAAAGTTTGAAACCTTTCTTGAATTGCTGTTAAGGCAATATCTAATATTATAAAATAAAATTCAATTTTGAAAATTTTCTTTGGGTCTGTTAAATGTTTTGTTTGCGCTTTCATAAATAAAATGTGTTATTTTGTTTCTATTATGAACAATTGCAAATTTGGCAGGTATATTTATTTCAGCAGCCAAAACTTGAGCACCACTATATTTATTAAATACTTCACTACATCTAATATCATTTAAAAATTTTATTACTTCATTTAATATTTTTATAGATTCATTTATATTAAATCCAGATCTTTGTAACATTTTATTTGCTATCTCTATTTTTGATAATATATCATGGCACAATGATAGAACATATAAATTTAAAATTTATTATATGAAATTATAATGAATTGGCCATATGTTTTGTTTTTATATTTCGAAAACTATTTTCCATCAAGATATTTAAACTTTTAATAATATTGTTCAATTGCAACCTGAGAGAGCGTATCGCGTTTATTCTATTTTTAAAAAAGGATAAAAAAAGGCGCCAAGTACACGCGCTAGTTGTGAAAAACTGTTATATATATCTATAAAAAAAATTTCCTAGAAAGGTAAAGCAAAGTATAAAAACTTGGCGTGCCCGGGTCGCATTAAGACATTTTATAAATACATATAAGTGAATATAGAAGATATTTATAATAAATTGCTTTTTTCTTATTCTTGAAACAAAAATATTAAGCATTTTAAACAATATCAAATCATGCTTCTAATTTATATAGCTTTTTATTATTAATTTTTTTTATGATTATATCATTCAATCAATTTTTTAATTTATGAATTCAGTTGGATGCACTAGTGCGCATCGATGCACATTAAAAGCTATTATAGACATATTTATATAAACATAATTAATTACATTTTCTTATAGTTTTAACCGTGTTCTATTGTTCTTTAAGTAGTTTTAATTGTTGACAGCGTTAATTAATTTTTTCACGTTTATATGATCGCCGGTGATACTATCAGCTGTCAGATTTTCGCAAAATGTCATAAAATGTCAGAAAATCGCGATATCTTGTGCAATATTGTTTTTTTAACGTATAAAATGTTAAGTGTTTTTTTTTTATCTTGTGGAATTCCATTCAGAATATTAATTAAAAGACCGGAAATGCGAAAATAATACTTTTCTCGGGAGATTTAATTATGTATTTATACGACATTTTAATTTCAAAAACGACTAAAGTTTCTTTTTTTCTATTATTGTCTTTTTCACTTTCATTTTATTTAAAAATATTAATATAAAATATAACTACAGTATCTCTCTTAGTCTGACTCTTCCCTTTCGACCTATCCGGCATGGGTGACCCTACCGGTAACTTTTATTAGCGTTTTTAAGTGAAGTAAGTTTATTCGCTTTGAGGACGATTAAACCCAATTTACGATGAATATATGTTTGATCAAAAACAGGTTTTGAGAGGATCTGATTAATATAAATAATATAAAGTACATTCTCCGTTTTTGACGCTATTTTGTCTTTAAAATACAAGTACAAGATTCTTTGCCCTGATTAATCAATCAAAGGCTTACTCGAAGTATTCATTGATTAATCTAATAATCCAAGTACTCCTAAAATACAAGACAGAGTTTATATATCTCTTTATTGAAAAATAAATGGATATAACAATTTTTTATGAAAATGTGGTTACGAACAACTATACTTATGGATAATAAAATACATGCATCGTTATTATAGCTAGTATTAAACGTGCGAGTAAAAATAATTCTCGGGTACCAACTGTTCAAGACGAATCAAATCCGATAACAGCAAAATATAAAATTCAAATACTTTGCAAGATAAAATAAATCAACATAATTTCAAGTAATTAATTATAAGCTATTTTTTTGTAGCGTTTAAATAAATTAATTCGTCGATCTTTTTTTGATATCGGGGTACCCATTCGATATAATGCAAATAATTTGATACTGAAAAGCATTAACATACATTTGGACTTATAGATATTTACATAAGTTGCACAATATATATATTTGTAACATTTTTAACATAAAATATATATTATAACATATTAGAATGTTTTATAATATTATTGTGATTTATTTTTAAAAAATTTTCTGGAATCAAAATTTAAACTGGATATTATTATAATATATTTTAATCTTATTTCTCTGGCTTTCTTTTTAATGTCCTAATGATCCCTATAGCCCTAACAATCCTATTTGCTGGCTGAACCATCGGAGATTTAAAAAGCATATCCCTAACCGCGTGCTCTAACCGCATGCCCTACTCGCGTGCCCTACTCGCGTGCCCTACTCGCGTGCCCTAATCGCGCACCCTAATCGTACCATATGTACCTCTCACTATGCGATTTGGCCAGTATTGGCCGCCTATTTTGCGTAGCCTATATCTATTCTTCGGGCCAGTTGGACCTACCTTTCGTTGCTCCTGGCTATTTTCTGGATCGATCTCTAAACAGAGATCGAAAAAGGAGATAAACATTCCTTTTATCGCCGGCTATTTATTATCGCCGGCGGATAGACGCAAGATTTTTCTTGCGTTCATAAAAAGATAAACTCCTTCTTTTGCCGAGTAATTATTGTCATCGGCAGATGAGCGTAAACATTTCACGCTCGATGACGATCGTGTGTTTTACGATCGTTCCTTAGACGTTTATTTTAATATAACTTTATTTTAACTGAGACAAAACCAGGTTATCAATCAAAATTTTGAATCTACAATATCTACAAATCCGTTACCTCAAAATAAAATAAAGTTCATTACTCACCGGCACTGATGCGCAACAGCGGAGTTGTTGGTCTTGAGGCTACGCTGTCTGTAACATACAATTATAAAATTCAAATTATAGCAGCGCCCAAAATATAATTAATATTTCAAAAAAATTATTATTTTGCATGCCAACTTTTATATCCGATGCGTACGATAATAAATAGATATATAAATATGAAATAATTTTATAAATTCTAAAAAGACTGTTTTTTCTAATAATAAAAACATTTATCAGATTTATGTGAAAGTCTTTCTTTCTAATTTTCTCTTGTTCAATTTATTCGAATAATGAGACCGAATTAATGCGCGTACGCGATTTTTATCAAACAGAATACAAATAATAAATACTCACCCTTGGGTTGCTCCGCCGGTGCAGGATGCCTCTCCTAGGCCTCCTCCTCTTCTCAGAATGTCAGGATCGCCACGTTGCTCTGTAACATGCAAATAGAAGATCCAAATTATAGCAGCGCTATAAATAATTAATAATTAATATTCTAAAAAATTTATTATACGCATTGAATTTTATATTCGATGCATATAATAATATGCAAATTAATAAAATTTTATAAATTTTGAAAAAAAGAACGGCTTAAGAAGTAAAATATCTCTTGAAAATTTATGTCCTTTATTCCGAAAGTCTGCATTAATGAAACTTATGCAACATTAATTGGTTAAAATAATCATACAAGAAATTACATGTGTACTATTTCTTAATTTTTTAAAAATTATTACTATTTGCTATTGCATTTGTTTGATGTCCTCTTCTCGGTATAATAAACCACGATTAAAGAGATATCTGGCAAATAAAAACCAACCGCGATTGAAAATGCGAATATTTTTCAAGAAAACTAATTACAATTTCTTGGTAAATTATAGCCACTTGGCACACTTTTTCTTTGTTAATCTATACCAATAATTATAAAAACTCAATTTAAGAGACTGTAATAACTTTTTAAACTTTCCCAAAAAATCGTAAGCTAGAAAAATATCGATACATAACAGCTAAATCAGAAATCCGATTCGATACTCAATACTTGATTATTAAGATATTTCACAATAATTCCAAAATTATAAAAGATTAAATTTGAACATTAATATGAGAGAGAAAGAGAGAGAGAGAAAGTTACAAACGCAAAGATCAAATTAAGTGCAAATACAATCAATTAATATTTTTGCAGATCTATTCTGTATCAAGCAAAGAATCCACAATAATTGATTTTGAAAAACTATTATTACGCACAATATTTAATCTAAATTTAAATTATTTAATTAAATATTATTAAAAAAATAATTATTGCTTATAAAGAGAGCAATGAGACAATAATTTATTATTTTAGACTTCTATCACTACGTTTCGTACTTGAATAAATTAAATAAAATAGTTTTAAATTTAAATAATTAAATTACGCGAAATACGCGCTTCGAAATTTATCGTTGCAATATAATTAACATAGGATTTAACGTATTTAAAAGATAATTAATTATTAATCGTATTAATCATATCAAATTATTCCCCGATAATTGGCGCGATCGCGTGTGGAAAAGGGATTTGACGGAGCGTCTCGCATCACTACTTTTCTGTTCGAGTGTTGTCACGTGAATGATAATAACTATAATAAGTATTGTAGGAAAGGAATTTGTGACGTAGCGTCTCCCACTATTACAGTACTATTCAAGTTTCGCTACGAATAATAACAAGGCCGTAAAACGTAAACAATAGCGCGCTGTTGTTACGCCGCCAAGACCAAATACTATGTTATTGATAATTTGTGGCCGAAAATATGTTGCGTACTATGACATACATAGAAGCGGAATATTAAATTATACAAATATTTTAAATTATAGATCAATTATTTATCTCCTCTAGCGAGATGCGGGAACGAACAAAATTTAAAAAATCATAGCGAGATAATTCATCGTCTAACGGTTCATTGTAATTTTGCGTGCGAAGATAAGAAATCTGAAAATTAGGAAAAGAAGAATGAGGCGATGAAGCATCTACGGCAGTGGCTGTGACGACGTTACTGTTAGCGTAACGAATATATGGCAATTCTCGTAAAGATGTCATTATATCGAAAATATCGAACGCTGAAGAACATTTCAGTTCTTCGGAGCTTTTCAAAACACTATAATAAAATATTTTTTTATTAAGTACTTTTTGAGTTATTTTATATCTTAATCTGACATATTTTGATATAAAAAATTAAATATCTCATAAAATATTTAGTTTTCGATAATCTTACCGTAATA